CACTCCCCACACCGGGACAGGCTGTAGTGCTGCCCTGCATACACCAACCCCAAATCTCCCCTGACCTACATCTTCCTCCTCATCTCCCACTCACTCTTGCCCATCCTTCCCCCTAATCCTACCCTGACCTGTCCCCAAGCCCCCTGATCTCTGCCATCCTACACTTGCACCAGCTCCACATGCCTTCTCTATTCCACGCCTGGCCCTTGCTCCCACCCAGTTCCTCCTTCCTGCCACACTTGTACCCCACCCACTGCACTCACAGCCCAACAAGCCCCTCTCCAGCACTCCCACCCCACACCATCAGTCATCTGCATGCACACACACACCCCGCAGCCCATCCACACTCACACCCCATGCCCCTGTAGTGTACCCACAGGGCACCCACAAACCATCCTTTCTTGCCACATCCACGGTGACCTAGGGACCCTTTTTCCTGGCCAAGTCACAGGACCTCCTCAAGCCTTGTCTTATGGACCCCAGAATTTCTGTTCTTCCCGTCCCCTTGGGCCCCTCTCACCAACCTGGCACCAGAGCTTCTCGTGGTCCCAGCCAGACATCCCCATGCCCCACACCTCCAGCAGGGACGTGCCCCCGGTGCCACTGGTGCTTGTCCCCATGCACAGCCTGGATGCTGCCGTGGCTGGCAGTGCACCTCCACGCCTGCCCTCAGCCCAGCTCAGGCAGGTGGATCACCTGTCCCAGGAACCAGGGCTCCAGGGCCTGAGCTGCAGCAGAAACACCACACACAGGGAGCACAGAACACACGGAGTCCCAATGGCATCACTAGCTCATCACAGAGCTTTGGAGGCCCAGCAGCTCTCCAGCCCCAGCCGTGACCTCTTGCCACACAAAGGCTGGTGCAGCAGCACGTGCCTCAGCTCATTAGCTCATTAGCATAATTAATGCTCACAAGCAGCCTTACCAACACTGATGATCTTGGGCGAACAACCTCACAGGGGGAGAGGGAAGTCCAAAGCCTGGCTAGAGGCAGTTTCCAGAGGCAGTATCGCATTCCTTAACTCCATTTTGAGTGTCCTGGCTGCAAGATAGCTCCACAGTGATGCAAGCAAGGCCTGGCAAAGCAGGAGCCACCTCAAGAGAGGCCCACACCATGCTCTGGGCAATGGACAGCCTTGTGGTGTGCCCGGTGGCAGTGGCATTGCCCACTGCTTGCATACAGAAAGGAGGTACATGACTTGGCCCCATTCTGGATTCACACCAAAGACGGGGATCTCGGCCCCAGCATTCCTGCTGCAAACGCTGCCCGCCAAAGCCATTGCACCTGCCCCAAACACCCTGCACGGGCAGGTCTCCCACCCCAGGCTGCCCACAGCCCTGGCCTCAATACCTGCACCTACCTGCAAGAAGCAGGTCCCAACAGGGGTGCTCTCCTTCAGGGACACATTGTAGAAGTTACTCCTGAACACGGGCTCATTGTCATTGACATCCTGCAAGGCCACGTGCACCACAGCTGAGGAAGAGAGCGCAGGGGTTCCCCGGTCTGTGGCCAGCACAGTGAGCTGAGGCTGAGGGTCCTTTTCATAATCCAGAGGGGCAGCAGTGGTGATGATGCCGGTGGCAGGGTCAATGGTGAACCAGCTGGAGTGGGTGTCGCGGCCATGCAGGATGCTGTACCGCACCTCCCCATTGGGACCCTGGTCCTTGTCACGAGCTGTCACCTGCAGGACAAAGCTGCCTGGGTACACCACCTCGGGGATGCTCTGCTTGTACTCCTGCTGGTCAAAGAGCGGGGGGTTGTCATTAACATCCATCACCTGCAGCACAAAGGCTGATTCTGCCCGCAGCGGGGGCGTTCCTGAGTCAGTAGCTGTCACCCGCAGATCATAGGAGTCTCTTTCCTCCCGATCCAGAAGCTGGTCCACACAGATCAGATAGATTATGTTGTCCTTGGTAGTGAGGGCAAACTTGCCATCTCCTCCCTCCAGTGTGACATTGACATTGGAATACTCTCCATAGTCGGGATCGGAAACAGATATGCGTGCCACGTACTGTCCAGGCTGGGCTCCCTCGGAGATCTGTGGGGAGCCATCCTCACTCAGAAAGATGATAGTCATGGTGGGCTGGTTGTCATTGTAGTCACGCACATGAATAGTGACAAAGGCTGTGGTCACCTCAGGATGGACAGCCTTATCCCTTGCCTGCACCACCAGCTCGTGCACCTTCCTCATCTCATAGTCCAGACCCTTGTTGAGTTTGATGACTCCGGTCCGGGCATCGATGGTGAAGTACTGCTCGGGATCGCTCTGCCGTCGGTTGATCTCGTAAATCACATCCCCGTTGTCACCTTCATCTGCGTCAGAGGCAAAGACCTGCAGGATGCTGCTGCCAGGTTTCAGATTCTCTGAAATGAGCGTGTGATAGCGGCTCTGGTTGAAGCTGGGGGCGTTGTCGTTGATGTCCTGAATGGACACATCCAGTGTCATCTGGGTGCTCCGGGGCGGAGAGCCCCCATCGTAGGCTTCCAGCAGCAGGGAGTATGAGGAACGGTTCTCCCGATCCAGAACGTTGCTGACCACCAGGTCCAAATACAGGACCCCGTTGGGTCCTCGGCGCGTTTCCAGGCAGAAGGCCTGCCCCACATTCCCTCCCTTAATTGTGTAGCCTTGTGTGTTCAGGAGGCCACTGTCGGCATCAAAGGCCGGGTCCAAGGGAAACCTGCTGCCAATGGGGGTGTGCTCCGGGATCTGAAAGGTGCTGTGCTGCTTGGGAAACGCTGGGGCGTGGTCATTGATGTCATTCACTTGGATGTTCACCTCTACCGTGATGCCCTCTGGGGTGACAGCAATGAAGCTGTAGCGGTCCCGAGTCTCCCGGTCCAGGACACGAGCTGTTTTGATGATCCCTGTATTCTCATCTATCCCCAAGTCAGTGGAGACACCACTGCCCTCCTGTGCTGAGATGAAATACATGTAGGCACTAGTTTCAGGGGGCAGGCCAGCACTGATGTCCCCAATGATGGTGCCAGCCGGCTGCTCCTCATCTATTTGTAGGTCCAGGGTGCCCAGGACAGCAGAGCCCATCGCTGCTCTCAGGCCCCCAAGAACAAGCAGCTCCAGCAGAAGCATTGTTGACCTCATCACTTGCTCCATGGCTGGCAGCTAGCAGAGCAGAGGGTGGCTTGATCTCCTTTGCAGAGTTCACTTTAATCCCGCCTGGAATGCAGACCAGAGGATACTGGTTAAGGGAGAGCAAAGGAAGGACAGAAGGACAGAAAACAGCCTGGAGAGGGAAGGCCTGCCAGGTATCTGCTGGCCGACCACCATGTAACGCCCATCCCTCCCAAGAAGCGAATGTGACAATATGTGTCAGAGCCTGCCCGAACAAAAGCCTGGGTCAGCACCTGGAGGGAGCTCAGACCCGGCAGTGCCCCGAGGTGAGCAGCTAGGACCCTGTCACAGAGGCGCTTCCTACATGCCCAGGTGCTCCTTCCAGCCCCTGCCCGCCTGGCAGCACTGGCATCAGCTGCCCCCGGGCAGCAGCCCCTGTGCCTTTAACAGCCGAACGCTTCCTGAGAGGCTCGGAGCCTGTCTGCAAGAGGACAGAGAGTTTTGGGCAAACAGCAGCCTTGCATCTCTCCTCCCTGTAAAAAGCTGGTCTCAAATTACCAGATAGCTCAGCGAGTCACTGCTTGAGACCCTGGCCCCCACCCCCTCTCTCCGCAGCAGCGTGCCTTTCAGGACCTCGGGGACTTAGGTGCCAAAAACCCGTGAAGTGCAAATCTGCTGTCCCTGGGAAGGGGCACAGAACTGGAGCGGGCTTCCATCCAGCGAACAATGAATCAAAAAGGATGCATTGCAAAGGATGTGCCCACAGCTGGGAATGCCCGGGATAAAATCGGGCCGTGCTCATTGTTTGGGCTGGCACGGAGATCGACGGGTGCCCCACGCCGGTGCCATGGAGGGCGGCGGCAGTGCCGTAGGAACGCAGCGGCTCCCTCGGAGCTGCCAGCTGCTCCGTCCCACACCCTCCGCCGCTCGCTCCCCTCCTTTGTCTCCTTCTCGCTGCTCCTTGCTGGCTCCGGCTCCTTCCCTCCCTTCCTCGTAACTGCATTTCATTGCAGCAGTGGGGGAGGGCGGCAGAGGCAGCCGCAGCTCCTGCAGCGCTGCAGCCGGACCGGCAGAGCCCGGAGAGCCGCCCGTGCCCGGGGTGCCAGCGCTGCCCTGCCCTGCCCTGCCCGGCCCTGCCCCGCCGGGAACACCGGGGTAGCGCCGCGGCCGCGGAGCTGCGCCCGAACAGCGGCCCCGGCCCCGCTCCGCGCCGCGAACGCGGCTCCGTGGTCTGCGGGGATGGCGGCAGCATGAGCTCACTCTTGGACTCTCTTGAAAGCGTTTGCTGCTGGGCCCATAACCACACTCAGGAGCCGCTCATGTCACATGCAGGAGCAAGAACCTCCCTGTCTTGGGGGATGGAGGTGGCTGGCAATGCCTGCTTTGGGGACTAAGAATATCAGCCCTTGACCAAAGAACTCCACGGCCGTGTTAACCCTTTCCAGGGCACATATGATGGTATTCTTGGGTCCCCTTTCCCACCTCGGATCAGCTGTCTAGATTTTTTTTTTCCTGTTTAAATCCTGGGTTAGTGACAGAAACAAAATAATTTAAAAGTATTTTCTACTCATAAAGAAATGTTTACTTCAGTGGGCATCTATTCTGAGGCCTATCCACACAGTCTGAGGTAAATCCACATGCCCTTCTTGCACCCAGCAGGTGAGAACCCTCACAATGTCCTAGGACCTGAAGTCAAAAGAAAATACTTTTGTGTGCTGCGATTTGGGAATCTGCATGAACTCAGAGGTCCTAGACAGGTCTGCCTCTCTGTTGGAGCTAGTTTTAATTCCCCAGATGGAGGGGTATCTGCCTATCCCCAGAACATGCTGGAGAAATGGGGTCTGAGGTAGCTTCTGTGATGAGACTGCACCATTGCAATGGTGTTGCAGATGCTCAGGTCATGGGAAGGGCCAGGGCAGAGAGTTTAAAGCCTTGGTAGGAGCTTAGACTCTTGGGCAGCTTGGACTCTTGGACTCTGGAAGAAATCAGGGCACAGACATGGGGAAAAGCCCACCTGGTTCCATTAGTTACTTTGAGATGCCAGTGAGGCTTTATGGACTGCTGGAGGGGAGAAGAGAGACTTGAAAAGCAAATCTGGGGAGTGTGAAAGCAGCTGAGAGCACTAGCACAACCAGGGAAGAAAAATTAGGGTCCCTGGGCTGAAAAACTGTTGATGAAAGCCTGTATAAGCTTCTTCAGTTCTATCCTCCCTGGATGCCAGTGAGTAGTTTCACAGCAAGCCTATCTTTCAGCTCAAGGTGGAACTGAACATTACTAGAGTGCACCAGCGGGAGGTACCAGCCATCCTTGGTGCCAGCAGAGCCCTGTTACAACGAGGTGTGCAGGTTTGGGTCAGAGGGAAGCAGCAGTGACCTCAGTGGATGCAGAGTCACAAAATCGGAACAGCTGCTTTCAGTTAGCAGAGAGCTCAGTGCGGGGCTGCTTGGCCGGTCTGTAACGTGAGCCACGCTGCCCCGCTCCCTCTGTGTCCCTCCCACCACCGGGCACCCTTGTGAAGAACGGCACCAGCAGCCTCTGAAGGAAACTGCCAGAATCTCTTCACACAGGTCTTTGAGGTCCAGAGCCATGATGAGGAGGTTGACAGGAAGGGCAGCTAAAATGGAGCGAGCTGCAACATCCATCTAAGCCTAGAGCTGACAGGCTGGAGCACCAGGAGAGCCCAGCCTACACGGAGCAGATGTGTGATATTTTGAAATAAAAAAGACGTGGAATTACATTGGGACCACTGTGTGCACCCTTGCCAGCAGCAGCTTGTGCCTGCTGTCAGCCATGAGAAAGGGGAAGTGGGCTGCCAGCAGCCCCAGCAGAGGAGCTGGAGAGACGGCTCCCCCTGTGCATGCCACAAACAGATGTCAGAGGGCTTGCTGTGCGAAGGCTCCATGAAAGCTGCAGATGCTGCTGATGCCATACCCCAGGTCTGACATGAGAGGCCATGACTCGTGTAATGATGTTTTTGAGACTCTAGTCCAGAAGAGGAAGCCTGTTTAATCTTTGCTGAACACTGGTCACTGACCTGGAATATGCTTTCCTCCTGTACATTCACAGAGATTCTCTCTCTTTCGTTTCAGATGATCTGCCCTCCACACCATGCCCAGCCCCGACTTGCCTGCAGTGCAGCCTTGGGCTAACAGCTCACTTCCAGCCTCTACTCTACCTACCACTACCCACAGCCACCTCTGTGCCTCCCGGCTCTCCCACCGTCTCCCACATGGGCCTGCAGGACCGGCACCCTTCTGCTGGCTGCAGCCCGGCCCCACAGCCTCATGACCCTCCGCTACGGCCCGAGCACTCAGAGCGGGGTGGCGCTCCTTTGCTGCGGATGCAGTCCAGTCCCCGCTGCATCCTTGTGAATCCCATTTTTGTGCCGCACTGGGGCTCCCCGCGGGCTCTCCTGTCTCTCAGAACGCATCCCCCACAAAGGAAAGTCTAATGAAACATTTCCGCGCCGGAGCCAATTCCCACAGTCCCCGTCTCGGGACATCCCCGCTCTGCATCGGCCCCTGCCGGATTGTGCCCATCGCCAGGGCGCTGCGGGGCCTCGCCTGTTCCCCGTACACCGGAGCTG